CCCCCCCCGCCTCTGCTCTTCTTTGTTGCCCTTGCTCCGCCTCTGCCCCTCCCTGCCTCTCTCCTCCCTCCCTGCCTCTCCTCCTCCCTCCCTGCCTCTCTCCTCCCTCCCTGCCTCTCCTCCTCCGCCTCCTCCTCCTCCGCCCAGCCCGCCTCCTTCTCCTCAGGCGCAGGCCCCTCTGAGGACGGGAGACTTGAGTAGTCCCTCCCTCCTCCCTCCTCACTACTCACTACTCACTCTCCCTCAGGCGCAGGCCCTCTGCCCCCGAGGATGGGAGCGCCGCCGTCGCGCCCCTCCCTCCCCGGCACCACGCCACCCTCGGCTCGGGCCGGCCAGCCGTTCGGCGGCGGGTACGTGCAGCCTGCCGTCGGGATGAGCGGCGAGCGACTGATCCGCACCCCGCCGGGGCTCACACTGGGTTCGAGACCCTGGAGGTGTGGGAGTAGGCGACTTCGACCAGCCGCTCGCCGAGACGTTCCGCGCGCTGACCGTCTCCAGCGGTCCGGGAGGCGACGTCACTCCTCTCCCCACCTCTCCCAACCTCTCCCCACCTCTCCCCACCTCTCCCCACCTCTCCCCACCTCTCCCCACCTCTCCCCACCTCTCTCCCCACCTCTCCCCACCTCTCCCACCATCTCCGCACCTCTCCCCACTCCTCCCCACATCTCCCACCATCTCCGCACATCTCCGCACTCCTCCCAACCTCTCCCACCATCTCCGCACATCTCCCCACTCCTCCCCAGGCGGCTCCGTCATCTCGCCCGCCGAGCTGCAGCGCCCCACGCCCGAGGAGCTGGCCGAGCCGATGAGGCTTGACACGCGCGGCGACTCGGGCCGCCAGCGGGGGCAGTGCCCCCCAAAGTACATGCGGATGACAACCAACGCGTTGCCGAACTCGCCAGCCACGAAGGGCAAGGCCGCGCTGCCGCTCGGCGCGGGAAGACTAGTCCCATACCTCCAGAGTACCGAACCCGGTGTGGGTTCAGTCCCGTGGGTGGTGCGGTATCACGAGGGGCGTCGTGAGACCGCCCACACCGGCTAGAGCACGCCGCTGTCCTCGCACTCCCCCCCCCCCCTCACCCGCCTCTCCCCTCCGCTGCTCCAGGGGCGATCATCAAGCCGATGGCGCGCGACGACGCGGCGCCGGTCGCCGTCGTCAACTTCGGCGCCGCCGCCGCCCCGAGGTGTCACGAGGTCACACCCGAGATCGCCCGAGATCACCCGAGACCACGCGCGAGAAGCAGGCGCCGTCGGCGTCGTCCGCTGCCGCCGCTGCCGGACGTACGTCAACCCGTTTGTGACCTTCATCGACGGCGGCCGCCGCTGGCGCTGCAATGTCTGCTCTCTCGCTAACGACTGTCCGTCGGACTACATCTGCGACCTCGACGAGCACGGCGTCTGACCCACTCTAGTCTTCCTCCCCCCCCCCCTCCCCCCTCCCCCCACCGCCTTCTACCCCTCCCTCCCGCCCTCCCTCTCCCTCCCTCTTCTCCTCACTCTTCTCCTCCCTCTCCCTCTTCCCCTCCCCCTCTTCCCCTCTCCCTCTCCCTCTCCCCCTCTCCCTCCCTCCCCTCCCCCTCCCTCCCCTACCCCTCCTGCGGTT